TCTCTGTGTGTGTGTGTGTGTGTGTGTGTGTGTGTGTGTGTGTGTGTGTGTGTGCGTGCGTGCGTGCGTGCGTGCGTGCGTGCGTGCGTGCGTGCGTGCGTGCGTGCGTGCACGCATGTAATAAAACGACAAAATAAAAAGGAGGTTTAAATTGTCTTCAATTGGAAATGCATCAAAACCATCGTCAAGTCGCCAGCCAATGAGAACGAGAAAAAAGAAATCGTCGTGACTCTGTAAACGCACCCTGTGTCTCTTGAGTTGATTGCAGTTATGAAGTCGTCACTGTACATGTACCTATGCGTACGTACTACGTAGTGTTTAGAAAATATAAACCGTACATATAAATACACCGTGTATGTACATACTCGCATACGGTATACAACATTCAATGTGTGTACGTTCATATTCATTTTTAAGGGCATTTAAATATTTCAGTTATTAACGAATGAAAGTACGTATGCACAGCATTTAATCAATCATTTACAGATCTTTGCTTAGACATAATTAGCCATCTTCTCGTCTCGTACGATACGGTCCGTACTACGTACTGTTCCGTACACATTCAGTAATGGGTTCTACTCCTGCATACCACAGCAGCAGACCGCAGCTTGATCCGTTTAGCGAAGATGAATATACATAGAAATCTTTTTTGCTCGGATTGACTGACGATTCTGGCTGACATCTACTATAGTGCGGATTGAATGCGCAGAAAAATGGTGGGGATGTGCGCGCCAGCATAGGGAGTAAGAAAAGCGTGCAGAAGTAGGTCCCATTACTGTAATCCATTTTAGAAGGTGTACGAATACTTTGTACACCGACTGTATGTATGTATGTATGTATGTATGTATGTATGTATGTATGTTGCACTGCTCTGAAACTGTATGTACATAAAAGTTGTANTGTGTGTGTGTGTGTGTGTGTGTGTGTGTGTGTGTGTGTGTGCGTGCGTGCGTGCGTGCGTGCGTGCGTGCGTGCGTGCGTGCGTGCGTGCGTGCGTGCACGCATGTAATAAAACGACAAAATAAAAAGGAGGTTTAAATTGTCTTCAATTGGAAATGCATCAAAACCATCGTCAAGTCGCCAGCCAATGAGAACGAGAAAAAAGAAATCGTCGTGACTCTGTAAACGCACCCTGTGTCTCTTGAGTTGATTGCAGTTATGAAGTCGTCACTGTACATGTACCTATGCGTACGTACTACGTAGTGTTTAGAAAATATAAACCGTACATATAAATACACCGTGTATGTACATACTCGCATACGGTATACAACATTCAATGTGTGTACGTTCATATTCATTTTTAAGGGCATTTAAATATTTCAGTTATTAACGAATGAAAGTACGTATGCACAGCATTTAATCAATCATTTACAGATCTTTGCTTAGACATAATTAGCCATCTTCTCGTCTCGTACGATACGGTCCGTACTACGTACTGTTCCGTACACATTCAGTAATGGGTTCTACTCCTGCATACCACAGCAGCAGACCGCAGCTTGATCCGTTTAGCGAAGATGAATATACATAGAAATCTTTTTTGCTCGGATTGACTGACGATTCTGGCTGACATCTACTATAGTGCGGATTGAATGCGCAGAAAAATGGTGGGGATGTGCGCGCCAGCATAGGGAGTAAGAAAAGCGTGCAGAAGTAGGTCCCATTACTGTAATCCATTTTAGAAGGTGTACGAATACTTTGTACACCGACTGTATGTATGTATGTATGTATGTATGTATGTATGTATGTATGTTGCACTGCTCTGAAACTGTATGTACATAAAAGTTGTACATACTCGGTGTACGTACACGCGACGGAAATGCATATACACGTTAGTGAGGAAACACATATGCGTTTCCATATATGCGTATGTATATAAGATATCCGCGTATACATACCTTGTATAGATACATAATTATTGCTATACACGTGTATAGTGCCATGACATATATATAATGCTATACACGTTTGACTAGTTCGAGATTGGAAAATACAATTGTATTCTTTCGCGCTAGTACGTTCCAAAAGAAAAAGAAAAGAAAGATTTTTTCTGTTTTGTTACTCGTACTTTTGTTATTTGTAGTTGGTACATTTAACTAATGTTACATATGCATGTATAAAAACGAGTAAGCGATAAGTACTATCTCCCCCATCACTAGAGGTTATGCGCGAGCGATATATTTTACATGTAGATACACAATGTATCTTGTATGAATCATCGATGATCATGTTGTTTCGATCGTTGAAAATCATGCTCGAAAATAGTTCGGCGGATAAGTAGTTCGGAAAAAATAAGTTGTAAACCGAAAACCGACGGTGAATTCCGCAAACAAATTTACTAATAAATGCATTCAGTCATTATCTTGTGAATTGCAAATATGAGTGTGTTACAGGTGGATGTACGAATGCCGTAAAAATACAGAAGGAAATAAGAACGTATTGAAAGTATAGACAAAATGGCCAACACAGGTGTGTTACCATTTGTACGTGGAATTGATTTTAGTAGTAATGATTTTGGTGTAAGTATTGTTCCGTTTCAAGGCATATTCTATAGTTTCCCCTTGCTGATTGTTTCACAAAATATTTATCTTTTAACTTTTACAGGATGGAAAATTTCCAGATTCTGTTCGCCTTATGACCGGAATACAATGGCTGAAATTAGATAAAACCAATTTAATGGAAATCCCTGGAGAAATGGGAAAACTATTGAAATTGGTAAAATCTTTTTACTCGAGAGTTTCTTTTTCATCGTCGAGTGTGATTTTTAAGCCGACAATCAAACTTCAAGCATGTTTTTATCCATGAAACAGGAACATCTTTCCCTTGTTAAAAATAAATTGGAACGCTTGTACGGAGAACTTACGGAATTAAGTTGCCTCAGAACATTGAACATCAGGCGTAATAATATTAAATCTAGCGGCATACCAGCCGAGCTGTTTCATCTGGAGGAGCTGACCACTCTAGATTTGAGTCATAACAATTTGAAAGAAGTACCGGAAGGGCTCGAACGCACTCGTTCCTTGTTGAACCTGAATTTAAGTTATAACCAGTGAGTGTGGCTCGTCCTGTTCCGCGTGTTCGTTCCGGTTCCGCTAGAAACGCCTAGCGATGTTGATGTCTCTTGCGCGATATAATGCCTAATAATTGTGTCTTTTAGCATAGAGACGATTCCTAATACGTTATTCATTCATTTGACCGATTTGCTCTTCCTGGACCTCAGTAACAATAAACTGGAGACGCTGCCGCCGCAAACTCGTCGCCTAGCAAATTTACAGACACTGAATTTGAACCATAATCCTTTGGGACACTTTCAATTGAGGTATGCGAACAAACGATTTTGTACAGACGAGCTAAAAAAAAAGTCGACGATTTTTCGGCAAGTGGTATTTTTTTTCCTTTTCTTTTATCCGATTTAGGCAGCTACCGTCGTTGATGAATTTAACGACTCTACAGATGCGCGACACACAACGAACCTTAAACAATATCCCCTCGAGTTTGGAGACTTTGACGAATTTACAGGAACTCGATTTATCGCAGAACAATCTGCCTCGTGTACCGGATGCTCTTTATTCTTTGCCAAATTTGCGTCGTCTAAATTTAAGTGATAATCAAATAACTGAATTATCGACTGCTATCGGTAGGTTCGGTCGAAGTTTGTCGACATACCATAGTTTCATCGGATGTTCATGCAAATGCATACTACTACAGAATCGAGCCGTTAATATATTTTTCATTACAGAACTTTGGACGAAGTTGGAAACGTTGAACATATGCCGGAACAAGTTAACCGCGATACCAGCTTCTTTGTGCAAAATTGTAACGCTTAGAAGATTATACTTGAACGACAATCAGCTAGATTTCGAAGGTATTCCGTCGGGAATCGGCAAGTTATCGTCGTTACAAGTGTTTTCAGCAGCCAACAATCATTTAGAGATGATACCGGAAGGTTTGTGCAGGTACGTATTTTACGACATAATGCATTTTTCCTTCTCCCGTTTCTTACCGAAATGGTACAAATACATGCAAAAAGTTTTATGCCTTCTGGCGTAGGTGCGGCTCATTGAAGAAATTGATATTATCGTCGAATCGATTGATTACCGTGCCGGACGCTATTCATTTACTTACCGATTTAGAACAGTTAGACTTGAGAGATAATCCAAATTTGGTAATGCCGCCGAAACCAACCGAGGTACAAAAAGGATCGGGAATCGAATTTTATAACATTGATTTTTCTTTACAACATCAGTTGCGACTCGCTGGTGCAAACGTACCGGCACCGACTCAAACGGCCAGTAAGTCTTTCAATGATTTTTCTGTGTGGATACAGGCTTAATTGGTACACTACACACACCTTGGTGACCTTGTAATCGTTCGTGTATGCGTGTATTAGGTAGCAAAGATCCGATAGCTCGTAAAATGAGGCTCAGACGAAGACGAGATCAGGAGGAGGCTGATCAGGATCAAGCTAAGATATTAAAGGTAAAATAGTTTATAGTGTCGCAACGTGACGTCTCTCTTTAAAATCCTGTTTTCCCCTCGTCAGGGTATGAAGGACATAGCGAAGGAAAAGAACAAAGACAAAGAATGCGAAGAATCTAAAGCTGAATCATTGAAGTAAGCCCGATACTCGAGAGAGAGAGAGAGAGAGAGAGGGAGAGAGAACGGTCTACAATCGATTATTTCCTTTTTCCTTGATTGTCTTTCGTCTTCTCGTTATCTTGTTTTTCTTTCGTTCGTATTCTAGACCAAAACGATGGGACGAAACCCTTGAGAAACCACCGTTAGATTATTCGGAATTTTTCGACGAGGACGCGGGCCAAGTACCTGGTCTATCGGTATGGGAAATAGAGAATTTTTTGCCGAACGAGATAGAAGAAGTGGCGCATGGCAAGTTTTACGAAGGCGACTGTTACATCGTATTGAAGACCGAGGTCGATGAAACCGGTTCGCTGGTTTGGGCTATCTACTTCTGGATAGGAGAGAAAGCAACCGTAGGTTAACAACGGCTTTCATAACAACACCATATAGTAGTAACTATATAAACGAACACGCAGCATAAAGTCTACTATATCGCGCACATGCGCGTTCTGTTGTAGTTGGATAAAAGAGCTTGCGCCGCTATCCACGCTGTAAATTTAAGGAATTATTTGGGCGCGCAATGTCGTACTATCAGGGAAGAACAAGGCGAGGAATCGGATGAATTTCTAATGTTATTCGAAACTGGTATAACTTATATCGAAGGAGGTCGTACCTCGTCTGGCTTTTACACGGTCGAAGACACGGTTTGTAGAACATGTTGCGTCTTATTTGATTGGTTTGATTCTGTTATGTTCCTTTTGGATCGTTTTACATGCGCGACAGCCATTCGTAACAAGATTATACAGAGTTCACGCTGCGGGTGCCTCTATCCATCTGGAACCTGTACCGGTTCATTTCGATTCCCTGGACCCGGGTTTCGTATTTGTCTTGGATACAGGCAACAAGGTTTTCATGTGGTACGGTAAGAAGGCGAAAAGTACGTTGAAATCAAAAGCAAGACTAATGGCAGAAAAGATTAATAAAAACGAAAGGAAAAACAAAGCTGAGATCACAACGGAAATTATGAATTCTGAATCGGACGATTTTCTAACGTGTCTGAACGTGAGAGATTCGTCGCAGCTTCTACCGATTGTAGTAAGTAGAACGATCTATGTACGGAGAAGTAGGGTGCAATATTTGAGATATATGTATCTTTTACAACTAAATATAATATAACTTGAATCTCGTTTAAAACGATTGCAGGAACATGTGGACCCGGATTTTACAGCCCTTGCGCCCCGTCTTTATCAAGTGCAACTCGGCATGGGTTATTTAGAATTACCACAGGTTGAAGTGCCGCATGGGAAGTTAACGAATACGCTTTTAAATAATCGCAATGTTTATATACTGGATTGTCACTTGGACGTTTACGTTTGGTAAATCAGAGCTGAAATGTCGAACATGCATTGTGTATGTATTTCTTGCATGTACGTAATGATTGTACGAATGTAGGTTTGGCAAGAAATCAACGAGGTTGGTGCGGGCAGCAGCTGTTAAGCTATCCCAGGAATTGTTTAACATGATAGAGCGACCGGATTATGCTACGGTAACCAGATTACAAGAAGGAACTGAGTCTCAGGTGAGCTGTATACATACATACATATATATTATATATTTTCTCTCTTTCTCCCTCTCTCGTTGTTCATAATTTTATTTAGATTTTCAAATCGAAATTTACTGGTTGGGACGAAGTGATAGCTGTCGATTTTACTAGAACTGCCGAATCAGTCGCCAAAACTGGCGCCGACCTTACGAAATGGGCTAAACAACAGGAAACCAAGGTATTTTGAAGAAAACTGTAAAGTCAAATTAAAAAAAGTAAAAGAAGAAAGAAAAGAAATTGTTCTAATGTAACAATCTTGTTGCAATAGGCGGATTTGGCTGCGCTTTTTATGCCTAGACAACCGGCGATGTCGTTCGTCGAAGCGCAACAACTTATGTCGGAATGGAACGACGATTTGGAACGCATGGAACGATTTGTGCTGGAAGGAAAAAAATTTGTGCGACTACCTGAAGAAGAATTTGGGCATTTTTATAGCGGAGATTGTTACGTTTTTCTGTGCCGTTATTGGATGGTAAGTGATAAACAACCAACAAGATTTTCTGTAATTATCTCGGTTTCCCTTTTAATTCTTTTTGTTTTGTTTTGTTGTTGTTGTTTTCGATTCTGTTATAGCCGTTGGATACCGCTGAAAACGAAGACGGAGATGAACAGTTTGAAGAAGATTATCAATGCACGGTGTACTTCTGGCAAGGTAGAGATGCAGGCAATATGGGGTGGTTGACGTTTACATTTAGGTACAAAAACGAACACGCTTAGCTCCTCGAATATCTTGTTCTTAGAGATGATTTACTATTATGTGACTAGATCTTGCTTGATTCGACTATGCTGTCTTCAGTTTACAGAAAAAGTTTAAATCGCTGTTTGGGGAGAATTTGGAAGTTGTTCGAACTCACCAGCAGCAGGAAAACTTAAAATTCTTATCATATTTCAAAAGAAAATTTATTATTCATCATGGTAAACGCAAACAGCCAAAGTCTTCCGATACTAACAGAGTTGAATTTTATCATTTGAGGAGTAATGGAAGTGCATTGTGTACTAGATTGATACAAATACCAGCTGACTCGTCGTTACTGAATTCTTCTTTTTGGTGAGATCATTTATAGAGATAATAAATAAGGATTATTTGTGGTTTTGGATGGAAGTGATAATGAGGAATAATGAGAGATTTTTTTTGTATGCTCTTTATTGCAGTTATATTTTAAATGTACCGTTTAACAATGACGACGAGACTGGGATAGTGTATGCTTGGATTGGTTCTAAAGCGGACAGCGACGAAGCGCGTTTAATCCAAGAAATCGCCGAAGAAATGTTTAATAATGTACGTTACGATATCTGCGGAATATCTCGTGTTAAAATAATTTATAATTAATATAATTACGAATTGATAACACAATTGAGAATGGTAGGCCGAATAACGGGAATTGTATCGCGTTGTTACATGTTTGTGGTACAGCCGTGGATAAGTCTTCAAGTTCTAAACGAAGGCGAGGAACCGGATAACTTTTTTTGGGTGGCCCTTGGTGGAAAGAAGTCTTACGACGCCGATGCAGAGTACATGAATTATACTAGATTATTTAGATGCTCAAACGAAAAAGGATATTTTACTATTAGCGAGAAATGCACCGACTTCTGTCAAGTATGAATCAAATTTATTGGTTGTAAAGTCTTGTTGTGATAGCGCATCTGGTACAGTATAATATTCTCCATATGGGTAATTGAAATCATGATCGATTGATCATGTTTCTAGGATGATTTAGCGGACGACGACATTATGATATTAGACAATGGCGAACAAGTATTTCTATGGCTGGGAAGCAGGTGCTCGGAAGTAGAGATCAAATTGGCTTATAAGTCTGCTCAGGTAAAATAAGAAAAGAAGAGAACAGAATAAGAAAAAGGATGTGACGCGCTGGGTTGGTAAGATAAACTGGTTCAAAAGAAAATAATGTAAAATGGATTTTAGGTGTACATTCAACATTTGCGAGTAAAGCAACCAGACAGGGCTCGGAAATTGTTTTTAACTGCAAAAGGAAAAGAATCTCGTAGGTTCACGAAATGTTTTCATGGTTGGAGTTTACATAAAAGACCGCTTCAATAAAATAGATTTAACGAATACTCTGCTTGTTTTCTTTCTGTCCGAATCATTTATTGTCACCAAAGACGACCCGAGAGCTTTTCTCAAGATAGATTACTCGAACATTTCGTTTTACTTTTCTTTTCCTTGGCAAATTTATTAACTAAAACCATATACAGACTAGATCGGGTATGTTAAATAAGTTATTAGACGAGCATATATCGGAAATAGTTTGATGTACGGATCATGCATCTTCATCGCGCGCGTATACTGTATTTATATCCTATATTGGATTTAGGCAAACATGTTTGCAAATATATTATTTGTTTACGCATCCGACAGCGTACCAACGTTATTAGAAGGAACTTTTTATACATGCTTTACACCAAGAAAAAAAAAGAAACAACAACGACAAGAAGAAGAAGAGAACGGTACAAAGACAGAATATAATAATGATTCCTGTGAAGAACGAGGAGGTGAACTTTCAAATCGATTACAATCTTCTAAACCATTCTAGATCGGTTGTAGAATCAGTTGAAATCGAACCTTCGATGGTCGTGTAATGCATACGTGTGTGTTTGAAGCATCAAAATTCTGCAGCATTATACTGCCACAAAGTGTGAAAGAATAGAAGTAAGCCTAGTCATCGTCGTCATCGTCCGATGGTACAAATAGCTCTTTTTCCTCGAGAATATGAGCCACCAATTTACTGAGTGTGACACCGATGACTAAACCGGTTACGACACTGGTGATAACACCCACGTAACCGAATCGTGTCCCTTTTGGTTCCGGGAGAATAGCGCCTGACGGTGTCGTTGTCCTCGGCCGAAAATGCAATTTGTTCTCGCCGTTAATTCTCAAAATGGTACGAAATAGAAAAGATGCACGTTGCAACGTCATTCTTTGTTGAAAATTGTCAGCAGTACGATATGGGGCTAGAAACAATTGTTCGCTGTATAAGCAAAGTCGTGGCTAAGAGTTATGAAATACATCTGTATTTTGTACGTACGAACGTGAACGTATAGAAACTGTTGCCGCTGCAATCAGAGATACGAAAGCTCAAATTAATAGCAATAGAAGGTAAACGAAATTAGGTTAGACCCCTTCTTTGATCGTCTTGTAACGATATATCGTAGCCTCTGAATCGAGTAATAATAATTGAAGATTCACACTTACAAGTTCTATTTGACGAGTGGATGTAAAATTTGTTTACCTTATGTCTTGATTCGATAATATTTAAAGCTGTTCATTAGAACATTATAAGAATGTCATCGTAAGAATGATTGGAGATAGAAAGCCGACCAGAGCAGACCAGTGTGGCCCATAGACCTGCATGGATCTAAGAATACGTATGTATGATATGGACGGAGCATATATGGGCCTGCATGCATGTACAGTAATGCATACAGTAATATATGAACAGTGGGTAAAAAGAAGTACAGTGTACTCTCGTACGTAGCTCTAGGCCGCAGATTGTACCGTTAGCGAGGGGTCAACGTGGAAATTTTCCTTGCTCTGATTGACTGACTGCTCTGATTCACTGCTGACACAGGATCCACTGCGGATTGGATGCGCAGTAAAATGGTGGGGATGTGTGCTCCAGCTTAGGGAGTAAGAAAAGTGTGTTGAAATAAATAATTTAAAACGAAATAACTTTTTTTACGATTTTATCATGCTAACAAATTGAAATGTTTGAAAATCTCTAGTAATTTAATTAAATTAGAATTTCTAGTAATCTAATCCGTCTAACTAATCTCCTCCCCCAGAAAAAAATTTAGATCGCTTGGCCAAATTATAAAAAAGTTAATCCGTTTTAAAAGATGTGCAAATACTTTATGTAATCACAGCTGGTGTAATATATACGTAATAGCTATTTATGTCATACATACCGTTTTTTTCAGATTCTGCACGATTTTTCTAGCTCATTTAGCTTCTGCAAGTATTCCCACCATTTTGCCGCGCATCCAATCTGCAGTGAATCCTATCTTAGCATCGAATTGTCAGCCAATCGGAGGACAAAATATTTTTAGGCTGACCCCTAGCGGATGAAGCTGCGGCCCGAAAGGTGTGCAGGAGGATACTGTGCAGGAGGATACTGTACTGCAGGACACGTTACTGTACACAAGTAGGTCTGCCCACGCGTCCATACTCGACTGTGAAATCAAAAAGTTGCACGCATAGAACGTTATTTGGTCGGAAAGAAGTCGGAAAGAAGAACCAGAGTCAGAGATTATCATCATGTTGCATGTGATCGGGTTGGGTCTTGGTAATCCGAAGGACATAACCGTTAAAGGTCTTGAGACAATACGTAAATGTGATCGCATTTATTTAGAAACGTACACATCGATTTTGGCTGCTGGACTAGAAGATTTTGTAAGCTCGAGAAATTGGTTGGCCTAAACGGTTGGCCTAGCGAAATTCTACTTATTTTTTATATTATTACTTATTATTTATATTACTTACTTCTACTTATTATTTTATATTATTATATATTTATATTTGTCTACGTATTTATTCCGATTTATTTACGTGTTTATAATGTTTCATCGCTAAGGAAACATTGTATGGACGTGAAATACTGGAGGCAGATAGAGAACTAGTCGAGAACGATACTGACGAATTATTGCCAAAGAGCGAGAACGAGAACGTTGCTTTTTTAGTGGGCGGTGATCCATTTGGGGCTACAACACATTCCGATTTGATAGTACGAGCTCACGAGAAAAAGTTACAGGTGATTGAAAAAGAACCCGTTCGGTCCTCCAACTTTATTATATTACTATATTTAGAATATCGTTATAACGACGCCATTGTTTTGAGGTTAGGTGAATATTATTCACAATGCATCCATATTGACCGCGATCGGTTGTTGCGGTCTTCAACTTTACCGATTTGGTGAAACTGTATCTATTCCTTATTGGAGCGACGATTGGAAACCCAAGAGTTTCTTTGAAAAACTTCTGTACAACAGGGAAAGGAATTTACATACGCTTTGCCTATTGGACATTAAAGTGAAAGAGCCTACTTTCGAAAGTTTAACGAGAAAGAAAAAGGAGTATATGCCACCAACGTATATGACCGCCAACCAGGCTGCTGAGCAATTGGTGCAGTCATTAGATGTAATACCCAAAGGGAGAGCATGGGATGACAGATTTAGTAAGAGAGGATAGAAAATGAAAGAACCGTAAATGTTGTACGCGAACGTAGACTAACCTAAAATCGAATGTGTTTTTTCAGCGATGGACGATTGGTGTACGGTTATAGCTTTGGGCCGCGTAGGCTGGGACGATCAGCGTGTCGCAATTGGTACTGTTGGACAGATGTGTCGCATGGATGTTGGGCCACCGCCGCATTGTCTCATTGTCCCTTCGATGACGTTGCACCCTGTCGAAAGCGAATATCTGGCACAATACGGGAGGAGAGAACATACCGATCGATATTTGTGAGAAACGTTATTATAATAAACGTAAATATGAATAAACTCATATACAAATATACGAATATACATAATTTAACCTTAGCAAATAATAGCGAATTCGGTATGTTGAAATCTTTAAATAGGACAGACAACGGATAATAGTACCGGCTACAAACTAAAATAGTACCGGCACTATGCAACCGACGCGTCCTGTGCTCACGTTCGATATATTCACCGACATTTTTTCGGTTCCGTGGACGGACCACGGAGATACCGCGCGCGCGCGCGCGGCCCCAATCGCTAGAACAAAACATTAAAAGAATACTCCGACACACCGAAGTATTCATGAAATGTTTATAGACGATTTACTAATTTTTTATAAAGATTAAATTCTTTCTTTTTGCGCACCGAAGCGTCTTTTTCTTCTTCTTCGTTGTATAACTTTATTTTCCTCTTGTTTATCAAGAAGCCAATTGTTAATTACCGTTTACACTATAACGTTTGATTTGAAACCGAATGATAAAGTTTTTCGATCGCATCGCGGACACGTCGTCCGGTTGTATACGTACGAATACCGATCTATCGTTACTCGGACACGGAATGGGCACGGCACGGTTATGTATAAATGTGGGGTTATATCGACGAGTAGTAAGGGATAGAAAAGTAGCGACTACATACATATAGCGTATAGCATGTTCGCAGGGAGAAAGAAAGCAACGCGCGTGTAAGTACGTGGTAGAAGGTTGTCGGCGGCAGGGGTGCCGGATCGATTGGACGAGGTTTTGCGCGTTCACGTCGCGCCTCGAGGTTCGTGTATCTGTTGTTACGATCGCAGCCCGCTCGACGAGAGACAGGGGGTCGTCGAAAAGTCCGATTGACACGAACGAATACGGAAGATCGCAAACGCGTTCGTTGGTGATGGAGAAACGTATAGCGATATCGAAAATTCGGTGATTTAGCTGGTAGCAAAGTAGAGGGACTGTACGTTGACAGAGCGTAAATACGGAATTTGTTGGTTGCCGATCGATCCCCTGGCTGGTTTCCTAGGTTAACGGCGATAAAGCGTACGTACAGTTTGTGCTTATTGCGATTTCTTTCCTCGAATCCTTTTCTTACCCCGCGTTACACAAGAACATTTTTCATTCGACTTTTCATTTTCGCCCATAGGAAAAAGCTGAACAACAAGGGTTGCCTGATTTATTTGCCTGAATTATTCTCGAATCGTTACGTAGAATGTTCGATCGTACTACACGGTACAGCAAGCGTATACGTATACACGCACACGTATAATAGACGATCGCTAGCAGTAGCACTAGCACGATGGCGAGACCACGGTCGTAATCCTGATATAGGAGGATGAGGACGATAAGGGTGTAAGGCTAGGTAAGGTAACGCGTAACGCGTAAGGCATAACGAGTCGATAAAAGGACCGCGAACGAACGCAAACGGTTGGGAGATTGCGAGAACCTAAGCAGGGGTGGTGGTTGGGGGGGGGGTGGTATGGCTTTGTCGGAAAAGGGATCGGTGATCGGCCCTCGAGTCCCTCGAGGTCTCGCGCCTGCGGTCGAAGGACTCGCGAGAGAGATCTTGCGACATCGACCCGAGGATATTTACACGTTTGCGGCGCATCATTTCGAGCAACTGATCGAGTTACGGGAGAACGGACGCGCTTGTACGCGTGTGTCAAAAATACTGGATCGCGCGTCGTCTACCGGGAAATGTCGTGCGCTCGTAGATTGGATCGATGGCAATGGTGGCAACGGCAACGACAACCATCGAACATACGGTGGTTCGAATCGCCGCGACCGGTGTCGTTTCCCTGATCGGAAAGCGAACAATTCGATCGATGAAGCGGCGGCAGCGGCGGCGGCGATTAAAGAAACGACAGGGATATCGTGCGCAACGTTGGCGAAATTATTAACACGTGGAAAAAGGAGGAGGAGAAGAGCAAGCGGGGAGGAGGAAACGGCAACGAATAGAAACGGTTGGTCTATAAACGAAACGGTGAAGGTATTTAAAAAGCATGGCTACGAAAATAGGGGGAACAAGGGGAACAAGGAGAAGAAGGAGAAGAAGGGAACAAGGTCGAGGAGCACGCAAAGATCAAAGATTTCGACCGAAGAGGAAATTCATAGTTACCCGGTGCAACGAGCCGCGGCGCAACCGCGGCTGTCGAAAACAACCGCGCTACGCCGATGTCATCGATCTTTATCCGTCGAAGATGTCTACGCGTACCTTGCGAGAAATAGTAGCCGACGATTCAAAGAAAATCAATCGGGAATCAAAGCGGGGAATCGCCGCTCGAACGAGTTGCACGGGATTAAAAGCCAACTCGAGAATTCGATGAAAAACATCGAGAACGCGTCGGCACGATGTCTGAAGCGACAGAGAAGCGTTGGACAAATCGAAGACGTGCGCGGCTCGTCGTCGAGGGTCGATAGGGACCGTGCGAGCATGGAATACGGTAGCGTCTCGTCGGCTTCGACGAGAAGAACTCGTTCGCTCGTGAACGTAACGTACTCGTCGAACGGGAGTAACGGTTACGGAAGCCACGTAAGTAGGGGGGCGTCCACTGGAAAGGACGAAATACAGCGCGACCGGCTGACGGAAACGGACGATAGCTCGATCGGAGCTATTTCGCAAAATCGTCAGGATCGACGGGAATCGTTCGGAGGAAGAGGAATCGAACCGAAGCAAAGGAAGAAGAACCCGGAACAAGAAGAAGAGAGTAGGGAGAAGGGAAGCGGAAGGGAAGCGGAAGAAGAAGAAGAAGAAGAAGAAGAAGAAGAAGAAGGTCGCGTCGCCGTGAAATCGAACGCGAAATCGGTAGTAGAAGAGTCGCGGGATATCGGGGACAACGGGGATACGGGGGGAGAAACGTTCGAGGACGAGTCCCGGTGCGATTCGGAGGGAATCGATATCGTTGCCGGTACGAAAATAAGCGTGGACCAAGCGAGACTCGTTGCCCGAGAGGATACGCCAGATGTTACGAGAAGTCGTCAAGTTTCCTCGGAGAACGAAGAAATCGTGATTCTTCCATCGGTGATTACGAAACAGTGTTCCGGTAACAGATACTCGGAAATTATTGCCGAGCGATCATCCGGAAACGATAGCTGCGACTGCGTGATTTTACCTCCCATATCGGTCGACGCGTCGAAACCGGTCAAGAAGGAAGACAATTTGGTGTTACCGGTATTGTCGAAATTCTCGGAAGCGATCGATAGCGAACAAGGATCGTCGAAGCCTCGCGGCGACAGCGAAGCTTCGAGCATCGGTGACGGAAGAAAGCGTTCGGAGCCGAACGCGCCCGTTTCGAAAACGCGGCCGCTCGAGCTAGGCGATCGCGATGACCAACGTCGTTCGACCAACGTTGCGCACCGAATTCCTTGTTCGCGCGACACCGCCGATACGAATAGATGCGAGAACGCGCAACAGATTTTGAAAGAGGACGGTACGATCGTTGATCGAGCAACCGAGAACGACGAGGCGCGTTCGGAGGCGAATCTGGAAACGAACGTTTCCAAAGAGGATACTTTAAATACGGAGTCCGATTTCGGCGAACTCTCGCGGACGTCGGCAAAGTCGTTGGACGATCGTTCGAACGCCGAGAGCGGAAACGAGGACGAAAACGAAAAGGAAGACGGGAAGGAGAACTCGACTGCGACCGCTACGACCGGCGGTGGCCACGCGGAGGAGGAACGCGAGGAACGGCAGCGAAATATTGGAGAACGGGAGACGCGTCCTGTAGGGAACGACGAGCTGAAAAACAAATTGATCGAGATAGAAACGGTCGAGAGAAGTATCGAAAGTACGCTAATTTCTTCGGAAACTGCGTCGATAGCCGACGATAGTCGCAAATCTGTAACGTCGCGTTCGATGGATTCCGCATCGAATTCGGAGTCGGACGAATCATCGGACGAATCGGAAAGATCGAAAGTTTTATTTGGGAATAGCGTAGATTCGATCGCTACCGAAACGTTGCACGGTGCTTGTGTAAAACAAGATTCGCTCCATAATTTGTACAACGATTCGCTGGGAAGCGATAACGCTGATACGGGAACTCGAAATCGATCGAATTTGGCTGAAATTTCGACAGCGTCAGCGACGTCGGCGAACGCGAGCGTGGAGGGCGAGGACGAGGGCGATGCCGACGGCGACGCCCGCGACGGTCGGTACCGAGCATCGATCGATTTCTCGAAAGACGCAGATCCGAACTGTTACGTGCTCACGGAAGGTTCGCCTTGCGAAATACCCGAATCGGTGACCACCGTGATCATACCGGATAAAGATACAGGCTTTCGAAGCGACAACGATGCTTTTCGAATCGAACGCGAACCGACCGACGACGCGTCTCGGGCAAAACAAGTACTTGGACTCGAACAGGAGGAAAATCCGTTCGGAGAATACGTCGTACACCCGATGGAAGCGTTTCAATGTTCCAACCAGCGATTCGAACGTCGAACGAACGATCACCCCATGGATCTTTTACCCGATATAAAAGATGTCGTCGATCGAACGCTCGCGTGCAACGATCTGGACAATATTCGGGAGGAGGAGGAGGCGGAGGCGGAGGAAAACGAGAAAGACGCGATGGAGGAGAATGTACGAGATGAGTCATTGGATCGGCCGAGTCGAAACGCATCTGGCACGACGCGAGTCGAAGGTGCCTGTATTCCCGCGGAACGCGCTGCAACTGGAGATTCGATTTCGGCGAATCGAGAATATCGAGAACATGCGGCGACGGAAACGGAGACGGAAACGGAGGCGGAGGCGGAGGCGGAGACAACGTTCGGCGATCGCACGCGCGACCGGTACCTCTTGTCGGGTACGGTCGAACCTTGCCTGCGAGACGCGACAACGTCTTCTCTCGAAAATAGAAACGATTCGAGAAAATCCGAGGATCGATCGGAGAAAGAGATCGATCGCGACAACGTTTGCGAAACCGAGACAATATTTTCTTCGTTCGACACTGTTCTCCTAGACGGGAAAGCGACTATCGACGAAAGTTCTGTCTCGAAGAATAACCATTTTCAGAGCGAAAAAGAGCGCGTCGCCGATCGCCGCGAAAGTAGAAGAGACTCTTCCAACGTGGAAGAAGAAATTGCGAAAGAACTGATAGAAAATTTGACCGATGGAACTTCGAGACTCGAAGAAACAACGGGTACTACCGTGGAAGCCGCGAACCGTTTCGATGCGAAATCCGACGCTCTGTCCGAGTACGGAGCAACGTCCGCGCGTACGATTTCCGAGCTTTCCAAAAATCAAGATCCGTCCGAACGATCGAACGAGCTGGTAATCGATTCGGATTTACGAAACAACCAGTTGGATGCGGCAATTAGGGTCGTTCAATTCCGTAAGTAGTACTATACATTATATTACGCATATTTATCGTTTATCCTTTATAATTGAGATCATTTGTCATTTGTCATTTGTCATTTTCCATTTGCCATTTTCGCTTTAGATATAGCGTACAGATAGGAATTTTTCAAACGTGATATCGTTTTCTGCTAGGTGTACGCGAGTTTCTGTTCCGACGTCGAGTTTCGAAGAAATCTGACCGAGAACGAAACGATGGACAACGTAGCCCGGATGCGTCCGTGGTTTTGGTAAGCGGACTGGTATTGTTGCTTGTCAAATTTAAATAGATCGTTCGAATGTTCTCTCGTGTTTCCTTCCTTCCTTCCTTCCTTCCTTCCTTCCTT